TATATAATAATCATAATAAAAGAATATAAATTTAATTATAAAAAAATAATAAAAATAATCATAATAAAATAATAATAAAATAATCATAATAAAAATAATAATAATTCCACTCTCCCTCCGTCTGTCTGTTTTGTTCCCGTGGCCATTGAGTCCCTTGGGACGTTGGTCCTCGCACTGGTGCCTTTCTGAGGGACCTGGGAAGAAGGATCTCCTCCTACACTGCATGGTGACAAGCGTGCAACTGAGTACCTTTTCCAACGTCTAGCAGTTGCTGTTCAGAGGGGCAATTCACCGTGATGCTTCAGGCTTGCCTTCCGTCACCTCCATTATCCTCTAACCCCCCCCCCACTTAACTCTACTCCCCCTCTCCTCTACCCTCGTCTTTTCTTTTTTTCCCCTTTCCTTTCTTTTATTTCCTTATTGTAATTCCTCTCTCCTTTTTGTTTTGTCATTGTTATTGTTTTGTTTTTGTCGGTGTTTCTATTCCTTGTCTTATTATTATTATTATTATTTATCACTGTCATTATCCTAAATTGTATTATTAATAATTCTTATAATAATAATAATAATAATAATAATAATAATCATAATAAAATAATAAAACCTAGATCTATAACCTATACCTACACTATATAACCTGTATCCTACAACTACCTGTTTCTTAATTTCTATTATAACTACTTTCTATTTCTACTATACAATACCTATACTATAACCTAATGATAACTATAATTGCTTCCTAATTTCTACTACTATACCTATACTATACCTATAACTACCTTCTAATTTCTACACTACAGCCTATATCCTAGGTATAAATACATGTTTCCTATAATTTCTACTACTATACCTGCACTATATAACCTGTACCCTTCTAATTTCTACTACTATACCTACGACCTTTAAATGACACAATGATACCTATACATGTACATGCATACCATATTAACCTTGCTATAAAAGTACTTTCTTATTTCATAATACCATACCATTATATTTAAAGCTTAATATAACACAATGATATACCATATTAACCTTGCTATACAAATAGATTCCTATCTTAATACCATACCATATTACCTATACCTACAACTTATATTGTATACACAATTTAAGACAAGTTATCTTATAGTGTACCATTATTACTGTACATGTACCAATAATTTTACAAATTATTATCATTATTATTATTATTATTATTATTATTATTATTATTATAAAACAACAATAGAAAAAGTAACACATCCACATAGATGTGCTTTTATTTTTTCTTTGTCTTTTACTTTCTTTTTATTTGCTCCTTTTTGAGAGAAATATATTGAGAATGGAAACAAGACTGACTTGCTGAAATGGAGGAAGGTCAGCTAGAGAAAAGTTATTAAAGACTGAGGGAGAGATAGAAATAAAGGAGAGAGAAATAGAAAGGAATGATGACAACAAAGAGAGAGACAGTGACATGAGTGTGTGTCAGTAAGAGAAGGAATGTACCATATATACTGGAGAAGGAGAGAGAGATTGATGAGAGATCAAGAGATGTTCATGTGTTAGTTTCATGATAATATAATGTGTCACTGGTCCACCTTTTATCATGTAAAGTAGTGTATTCTGATTGGTTACTTATTGGTGAAGGTAAACCGACTTGGTATAATAATTGTTGTATCAAGAGATCATTACACAAACTTTTATGATTAGTTAGTACCAGTCTACTCTGTCTTGTATGAGGTGATACTTAGAATAAGTATTAATACAAGTCTCTTTGTGTCGCTTGTCAAGCCTGAGTCTCCTTATCTTCTTATTATCCATTAGTGACTGGAGGATGAGTAGTATTGACTCAGTAGACAATGAAGTACCACTTAGATCCAGTTCAACTAGTGGTGAGTTATTGAGGAGGAGGTGAGAAAGAGCCTGTCCACTAGTAGAAGTGATGAGAGGATTATAATAAAGGTCTAATGAGGTAAGTGTAGAGTTGTGTTCGAGTGCTTGACAGATATTAGTAACTCCTCTATCACTAATGGAGTGGCCCATGATGAGTAGTTCTCGTATGGTTTTATTATTAGTTAGCAGTATACACAAGTACTGGATACAATCAATAGTTAATGGAGTGGTCCGTATCTC